TTGTAAGACTGCGATTGTTGGTTAAAAGTAATCTTCTGGTTTTATCTCTGCCAAGGCCTGGATATGTTCTTGTGAAACATGAGTAATTTCCAATTGCATATCAAGATTGCTCGTCAAGCCAAGATTCTTACCCAAATCTTTCTCAATTTTCTATTTTGTATTAGTTAACAAAAAAGTCTTACTTTTAAAATAAACATTAGCTTTATTAGATTAACTGGTATTAAAGTACTCAAATCTTCCAACCAAAACTCAACTATAGGCTTGGTTATATGTAGATGAATTTAGATTTGCCTTATTTCACAACTTAGTTTTTATGCTCTTTGTAAAAACAATTAAGACCAGTAGTTATTGCTGATAATCTTAAATACTGTTTGGATATTTAAGATTCTTCCTTGTAAAAGCTTATGCACAACACCAGCACAAAATAAACTTTAAAAGTGAACAGATGCTGTAAAAACACATAGCAACATCATTTTGCCATTCATCTGTTCTTAGTGGCAACAAACTAATGATTAGAACTGAATGCAAATTTATCATTTTAATGCAAAAAGTGGTCAAATCTAGTGAAGTTTCAAATCTAGATTCATCTCAAATGATCTACTTGTTTTGAATTTAGTTTGACTGAAGATTTCTAGTGCTTTTACTGTCTGCATTTCTCAAACATTTAAAAAAAAATACATTGATCTTATCACTGGAGCAGAACTGAAAGCTAAGAATGGAATCTCAGAAATGTTTGAGAAGGACTAACTTGGTAATGAAGACCTATTCTGTTAAAACATTTACTATGTCTGCCAATTGTGATGTTAAAAAATCTTGTTGAAAGAAACTGACTGCATAATAAAAACATGGAAAAATGATGTAAAAGTGTCCAAAATCCAATATTGATAGATGCCTATTCTAGAAATGTACGTGTTAATTAAGTTTAAATCACTGATTTCTACTGAACTTAAGAGGTATTTCATTAACACATCTGTTAACAAATATTTTTGAACAGAGTGTGTAGTCTAAATTAAACATTTCAATTTTGAATAGTTAAAGCAGGAATGTATTCATGGAAGTGGGAAACAAGCCAGTATATCTATGGGATTAGGACGGGCAAGGACAAAAGCCTGTCTTCTGCATCCCCACCCATTTTAATATCACTTCAGTTTACCATCGAAGTGACTTATATATTGTATGCCCAGCAATGTGTGGGTGTGCATAAAATAATGAATTCCAATGTGGGAAGTATTTCTCATTGTTTGCACCACAATGATGAATACAAGAGATATTTACATGCCCCTGCTACCCAGCACACAGGTCTTAAAAATTATTTTAAAATTTATATGAGTGGCATAGAGGTAACTGCCAATGCAACAATGAAGCAGGGTTTTCAGGGCACTTTATAAATGCCAAGTGTTCTGCATTCAGACTGAATAAGGGTGAAGACAATTTCTGGTTCATGAAGCTCCACCAAAAGGAGAGGAAAATAAGTTAACTTACATTCGTGAATGTCCACATTATGATGGGCGCATTGAAAAGATCTGTATTTGGCGGGAATGTAGTGTCAGACGCAAAGAACACAAATATATGTGTCATACAAAAAGATTCTTGTAGGATGAAAGTGACTCTAAATTAATGTTTGTTTCACTCTTAATAGGGGCTTCATTCCCTATAATCCAACCACTTTTAAACATTTTTAATATTAACTTCACTATAAAAATTCTATGAGTGGCATCAACTAATGAACAAAAAAAGATGGTCCCCTCTGATGCATTGCCACTGATTCAATAACAAGCTTGTCATTTGTAGATTGAGTAGGGGCTTGAATTTTTTAAATTTAATTTCCTATCTTTTACTCCTTACGGATTGGTGTTTCATGACACTAGATTGACTTTTTCTCTACAGGTCTTTAACAAGTTGTGACCTTTGCAAATTGCAGCTCATGAATTTACTTTGTCCACATTGTCCATGAAGTTGAACTTTCAGAGACAAAGAAAACAGCTTACTCACCATCTTAAATATATTACAGTTGCCTGCTCTGGCCCCATATTTTGCTTGTAGCTTGTGTGCAGATTACAGGCCATTTTATCAGGCAACTAATTCAAACAAACCCACTGGTTCATCAATGCCATTTAGGGATGAAGACTACAATCCTTACCTGCCTGGCTCGATGTGACTCCAGACCCATAGCAATGTAGTTGACCCTTAACTGGCCTCTGAAATTATTGAGCAAGCTATTCAGTTGTTTCAGCCAATAGAAAGTCTCCAGAAAGAAATGAAACCGACAGACCACCTGGTATCGACTAAGGCATCAGAAGGACTAATACACCCCTGTCAGCCTTGCAAAGTTCTCCTTACTAGCATCTGGGAGCTAATGCCAAAATTAGAAGAGCTGTCACACAGACTAGTCAAGCACAGCCTTATGGAACTTATAGAATCATAGCTTATACATGACATCCTAGAGAACACCACCACCACCACCCCGGGTACATCCTGTCCCACCACTGGATAGATCTGGCAGAGTTGGTAACACAGTGGTATACAGCTGAGTGGGGGGTGAGCTGCCTAAGACTCCTCAAACTGACTCTGGATACTATGAGATCACATTAGATCAAATATGGGCAAGGAAACCTCCTGCTGATTACTGCACGAACCATCAACAGCATTCCAACACAATCAGCGAACTCACAGCCTGATATGCCCCTATTCAACCATCATCATCAATCCAATAATTGAACTAATACTTCTTGGTTCAATGAAGCGTGCAGGAGGGCATGCCAGGAACAACACCGGTATACCTAAAAATGAGGCGTCAGTCTGATGAAGCTACAAAACTACTTGTGTACGAAATGGCATAAGCAGTACGTGATAGACAGGACTAAACGATTCCATATCTAAAAGATAAGATCTAAGCTCTGCAGTCCTGCCACATGACTAGATGAATGGTGGTGTGCAATTAAACAACTCATTGAGCAGGAGGCTCCACAAACATCCCATCCTTAGTAATGGGGGAGCCTAGTAAATCAGTGCAAAAGACAAGGCTATACATTTGCAACAATCTTCAGCCAGAAGTACCGAGTGGATGATCCATCACAGCCTCCTCTAGATGTCCCCCGTTTCACAGCATTTAGCTAATTTAATTCACTCCATGTGATATCAAGAAACGTTGGAGATACTGGATATTGCAAAGGCTATTGACCGTTGATTTTCAGCAATAGTACTGAAGACGCGTACTCCAGAACCAAGCATGCCTCTAGCCAAGCTATTCCAATACAGCTGGCATTTATCCAGCAATATGGAAAATTACCCAGGTATGACCTGCACACAAAAAGACAGGGTAAATCCAACTAGGGCATTTACTGACCAATTTTTCAATTCTTGAACATCACCAATGCTATTAAGCAGCTATTGCTTAGCAATAACCTGCGCACTGATGCTAAATTTGGGTTCTGACAGGGCCACTCAGTTCCTGACCTCATTATAACCTAGTTCAAACATAGAAAAAAAGAGATAAGGGGAGAATGACTGCCTTTAACATCAAGGCTGTCTTGGACCAAGTGTGGCATCAAGTAGCCCTAGTAAAATAGGAGTCAACAGGAATTGGGGGAAAGGTCTCTGCTGGTTAGAGTTATACCTGGTACAGAGAAAGATGATTGTGATTGTTCGAGGTCAAACATCTGGGTTCCAGGAGTTCCTCAGGGGAGTCTTCTAGGCTCAACCACCTTCAGGTTCTTTCTTCAATGACCTTTCTTCCATCACAGAGTCAAAAATGGTGATGTTTGCTGATGTTGCACAATGTTCTGCACTATCTGGAAATCCTCAGACATAGACAATACCCAGTCTTGGGCTGTCAAATGGTGGGCAACATTCATGCCACACAAGTGCCAAGCAATGACTACCTCCAATAAGACAGAACCTAACCCATCGACCCTTGACATTCAATGGCATTACTAACATGCTGGGTAAATACTGACAAGAACCTGAACTGGACTGGCCATATAGATACTGTGGCTACAAGAGCGGATCAGAGGCTAGAAATCTTAATGTGAGTAACATATCTCTGACTCCCGAAAGCTTGTCCACTATCTACAAGGCACAAGTCAGGAATGTGATGGAATACATCCCACTTGCCTATTTCAGTGCAGCTCCAGCAACACTCAAGAGGCTTGAAAGTACCCAGGACAAAGCAGTCTGCTGGTGTGACTTCACATCCACAAATATTCATTCCTATCATCACTGATGCTGAGAAGCAGCAGAATCTACCAAATGTAAGATGCATTAAAGAAATTCACCAAGGCTTCTTTGACAGTGCATTAATGACCACTACCATCTAGGTCAAGGGCAGTAGATATGGGAATACCACCGAGTTCCCATCCAAGCCACTGACTATCCTGACATGGAAATATATTGTCATTCCTTCAGTGTTGTTGAGTCAAAACCCTTGAACTTCCTCCCCTGTGGCATTGTGGGTGTACCTTCATCACATAGACTGCTGCGGTTCAGAAGGCAGCTCACCACTACCTTCCCTAGGGCAAGTAGGCCCTGCCAGTTGTACGCACATCCCATGAATGAATTTTTAAAAAGTCATGTGGGGTTTACAACACCATGGGTTTTCCTGCAAGCAAGTTCAGTTCAACCACTGTGTTCGACTCGACTGAGTATATCCCACTTGAGTGTTCCTCACAGCACAGCTGGTTAAAAATGAGGTGTTTTGAAAACATGGGCCACATAATGAGATTATACTGTGGTACACCATCCCTCTGTTACTCAGTTATCAAGATTTTAATGCAGCTAATTATGCAGCTTTAGGGCATGAAGATTTAGATTTATGTATTCAGTTTTAAGATTAAAGATATATTTTAAAATGGTAATTGTCTCAAAGTTCGGCACACATGACAAAAGAGGGCAATATTTGCTTCAAAAATCTCTTAAAAAATGAATTCTACTAATGTTTGCTAATTCATATGCAATTAGTTAAATGGAAAACAAACAAAGGAAGATTCATGTTGATTTCTCACCTCTGCTTAAGGCGTCGTTTTGCTGTTGTGGGAACATTAGCACCATAGCCATAAGAGAAAAGAACCCGTTCTGCATCATCCTCATTTTCCACTATGGAAAAGCAATGAAATTAATTTACATATAAGCTGATTGATTTTGCAAAATCAAAATACGCCTGATTAATCAGTTGACTAAAGAGGTCTGCTTGAAAAGTTAGTAATGCAAATGTACAGCCTTTTGGATCATTCAATATGCTTTTAACTATCCTTAAATTCTAGCTCTGAATTAATAGGTGGAAAACTGTATTTTACCCCTCATTACTGGTAGGTATTTAAATTTTGGAAACCTCTTATGATCTTGCATGTCCATCTGTGAAATACTGGATTTGTGTGCATTAAAATTTGAAGGTATACAACGGTACATGGTACAAATGCACAATAATGTGCGAAAGTGATTCACAAACCAGACAGTTATGATCTGAGTGAGCTAATCATATTGAGAACTGTATTAGGAGGACCATTCTCATATTTAGTGAACTGGGTGCACAAAACCTATTTGAGTTACTTCATTAATTCAAACAGGAAGCAGGAATAACCATTCTGGCCCCGAGGCAGGCTCGCCATCTAATAAAATCATGGCTTTTTCATTGCGATGTAAAATCTATATTCTTGCCTATCCATGATGACTTTTCACTCCCTTGCAGACCAAGAATCTACCTACCACTGCCTTAAAAATATTCAGAGACTCTGCTGCCACTGCCTTTCCAAGAAGGGAGTTCTTCAGACTCATGATCCCCTGTGAGAAAATAAAAATTCCTCTCATCTCCATCCTAAATAAATGACACTTATTTTTAAACCATGACCCCTAGTTCTAGATTCTCCCATAAGAGGAAACATCCTCTCCTACATATATCCTGTCAAGACACCTCAGGATCATTTATGTGGCATTCAAGTTGTATCTTATTCTTCTGACCACCAGTGGACACAGGCCTAGCCTGAACAGCCTTTCCTCCTAAGATGGGTCTGGGTGGGGTGCTCTGACGGTCGGTGTGGACTTGTTGGGCCATAGGGCCTGTTTCTACACTGTAGGGATTCTATGAAAAAAACAACTTAGCTAATCCTGCACCAGTTCTGAGGAAGGGTCACTCGGCCCAAAACGTTAACTCCGATTTCTCTCCACAGATGCTGCCAGCCCTGCTGGGCTTTTCTAGCAACATCTATTTTAACCTGGCTATTAGCTTGATAAACCTTCTCTGAACTGATTCCAATGAAGTCACATTCATCTTTAAATAAGATGACCAATCTGTATGCAGTACTCCAGATGTGGTCTCACCAGCTCTCTTACATAACTGAATCACAAGGTTCCTATTTTTGCATTCAATTCCCCTTGCATTAATTCATCATTTTTCACTAGCTTTCCTATTTACTTGCTGTACCTGCATATTAACCTTCTGCAACTTAGGCACAAGACACCCAGATTTCTCCGTATCGCAACACTCTGCAATCTCTTACCATTTAGATAATATGCTTCTTTTTTACTCTTCCTGCTAAAATGGACAATTTCACATTTTCCCACATTGTACATTCAATAATCAGAACTGAAGAAGAGTCACTGGACTCGAAACGTTGACACTGCTTTCTCCCCACAGGTGCGCCAGACCTGCTGAGTTTTGCTAGCAATTTCGATTTTTGCTTTGGATCTCAAGCGCCTGCAGTTCTTTGTTTTATTTCAGTACATGTACTTGATCCTCAAAGAACTCCAGTAGATTGGTTAAACAATGAATTTGTTTTCACAAAACAAGTTTCATATTGCCCGATTACCCTTAACTTATATAAGCACCCTGCTACAACTTCTTCAACGATAACTTCTACCATTTTCGCTATTATAGATGTTACGTTAATTGGACTCTAATTTCCTGTGTCTTTTCTCTTGCTTTTTGAATATAGGAGTTACATTCTCTATCTTCCAATCTAATGGGCCTTCTCTGAATCTCGGGCGTCCTCGAAAATTACAACCGTGCATCAATTATTATCATCAGTTACTTCTTTTAAGAATCTAGTATGAAGCCTATCAGACCCAGGCACCTGTTAGCCCGAAGCTTCAACAATTTACCGAGTACCACTCAGTAACAAAGGTGCACGATGGCTGCATTATGCAATATTTACTAAACATACAGCAAGTAACCAAAACTTGTTCAGCATCCTAATCAGCAATCTCCACCACCTAGGAAGCCAAGGAAAACAGATGGATGGTAACACCATTAAGTTGCCCTTCAAGTATCATCCCACCTTGAATGTATTATTGCCATTCCTTCATTTTTGCTCAGATAAAATCCTACAACTCAAAACCTAACAACACTGCGGATGTATCCTTTTGCAAATGGGCTGCAGTAGATCAAAATGGCTCACTACTATCTTCTTGAGGTCAATGGGATAGGTCATGAAGTGTTGACTTTGCCAGCAATGTTCATAACACGATAGTGAATTTAAAAAAAGGAAATCCATAGGACCTGCTAACAACTTGTTTCTTCAAGCTTTTATTATCTGAAGTCTGCCCAATACCTCAAATGTCAAAAATGTGGTTTATGCATCCAAACACACCAGGCAACAAGTTCACTCCTACAGCCCTAAACTATGTTTTGGTTTCCAAACTAAACTTTACTGGACGGACTGAGATTGGTTTAGTATATTACAGCTGTATCCTGTGGTATCATCTCATAATAAATACGATGTGAGAAATGCCCTCTTTGCAATTGGCGCAAAATTGTAAGAATGTCCTTTACAAACATGTTTACAAATTTGCTACACAGCACAGCAAAGAAATCTCTGGACAATCCAAACTATTATATAGAATCATAGAGATATACAGCACAGAAACATACCCTTTGGTCCAACTTGTCTGCACCGATCAGACATCCCAATCTTACGTAGTCCCATCAGCCAGCATTTGGCCCACATCCCTCTAAGCCCTTCCTATTCCTGTACCCATCCACAATGTGCTAGAATAGGTCTATATTTACAGGGATTTATCTACCTTTATGTGTTTGAAGACCTCCAGCACCTCCACTTCTGTTATATGGGCAATTTTTAAAACATCACTATTTATTTTCCCAAGTTCCAAGCTTCCATGTCCTTCTCCACAGTAAATACTGATACGAAATATTGGCTTATTATCTCATCCTTCTGGGGTTACCACACACAGACAGCTTCGTTGATCTTTAAAGGGCCCTGTTCTCTCCCTAGTTACCCTTTTGTTCTGAATGTATTTGTATAATCTCTTTGGATTCTCCCTAACCCAATTTGCCAAAGCTATCTGATGACCGCTTTTTGGCCTCCTGATTTCCATCTTAAATATACTCCTACTGCCTTTATACTCCTGTAGGGATTCACTCGATCCCTGCTGTCTATACCTGGCATATGCCTCCTCCTTTTTCTTGAACCGAGCCTCAATTTTTCTAGTCATCCGGCAGTGCCTACACCTACCAGCTTTACTCTTTGTACAAGCATGAACATACTGTCTCTGAACTCTTGTCATCTCATTTTTGAAGACCTCCCACTTTGCAACCATCCCTTTATCTGCAAACAGCCTCCCCAATCAACTTTTGAAAGTTTCTGCCTGATACCGTCAAAATTGACCGTACTCCAATTTAGAACTATAACTTTTAGATCAGGTCTTTCTCTTTTCATATCTATTTTAAAACTCAGAATTATGATTTCTTGCCTAAAAGTGCTCCCCCACTGACACCTCAGTCACTTGCCCTGCCTTATATCTGAAGAGAAGATCAAGTTTTACGACTTCTCTAATATGTACATTCATATACTGAATAAGAAAACTTTCTTGAACACTCTTGCCAAATTCCTCTTCATCCAAGCCCTCAATACAATGGCAGTCCCAGTTTATGTCTGGAAAATTAAAATCCCCTGCCATGACAACTCTTATTCTTCTTACACATAACTAGGATCTCCTTATGTATTTGCTTCTCAATTTCCCGCTGATGACTGGGGGGACTATAGTATAATCCTAATAACATGATCATCCCTTTCTTATTTCTCAAGTGCACTTATATTATATGGACATTCTCCCAGGAATATCCTCCTAAGTACAACCATAATGTTATCCTTAACCAAAAATGCCACTCCTCCTCCTTTCTTGCCTTCCCTTTTTTTCTTCCGATAGGATCTATACACCAGAACATTAAAGTCCTAGTCCCGCCCCTCCTTGAGCCATGTTTCCATAAAAGCTGTTACCAACCATGCCCTAAGTTCATCTGCCTTATCTGTCAGGCTCTTGCATTGAAATAAATGCAGTTTAATTTATCAATCTTACTTTGTTTTCTGCTACGCTCTTGCCTGCCTTGACTATTTAATTTGCTCCCCTTATTTACGTACCAGCCACAGATATCTCTATCCTCAATTTGGGTCGCTATGCCATTGCTATCACCGTGTACGATGACCTTCTGCTGGTCACGCTCCCTTTTTAGAATATTCTGCACCTGCTCCTATACATCCTTGACAGTGGCACCAGGGAGGGAGCACACCATTCTAGTGCCTTGCTGACGGCCGCAGGAACATCTGTCTGTGTCTCTGACTAGGAAGTCTCCTATCGCAATCAGTCACTTGGAACCTAATATATCCCTCTTTACAAAAGAACCAATCAGGGTTTAAAAAAGCTGGCTGTCAGCGCAATATTCCCCTGAGAGTTGATAACCCCCTTCATTTTCCAAAACAGCATACTTATTTGAGATTGGGATAGCCACAAGAGACTCCTGTACTACCTGCCTACATCTCCTACCTTTCCTAGCAGTAACCCACTTTGCTGAGCGTATCTGTGACTTTTCTGCCTCCCTGAAACTGCCATCCACCACATCCTCTAGATCGTGTAAATTCCTCATTGCCTCTAACTGGTGCTCTAATCGATCTATGCGATCTGATAGGATTCACATCCAAACACACTTCCTGAAGGCATAGTCTCCAGGAACACAAAATGTTCCCTGATCTCCCATATTCATTAGGAAGAGCGCATCACTTTACTAAAAGCCATCTCTATCCCTTGAACAATTTACAGACCCAGAAAATATCGAAAAACAAACACAACAGCACTTTGCTCAGAAACTCAGTGTTAGCACAGTCTTACTGCTCCAAACACTGCTCTGGGATAACGTACTATTTATCTTTTATATTAAAATTCAATCAAGAGACAGATCTCAGTAAAACATAGAAATAAAAACCTACTTTCTGCTGACTGCATTATAACACCATCCAGCTCTTGTTCTAGTTTCTCATAGGTCACTAATCGTGCTTGAAGCTCAGAGTTTTGTGCCTGAAGTTCTGTGGTATGTTTATCTGCTGATGACTGCAGTTTGTAAAATTCTTTTGTTAAAACCTGTTGAGAGAATAATGTAAAAAGTTACAATTAATTACAAATCTGCTTTTACACGTTGACTTGTAAAAGTAAATCGCATGCAAAACTCAACTTTATCAATTTGATAATTAACATATTCACATAAAATTCCTCTGTACACGATTTAGCACAGCATTACAGGATTCTGCATAGAAAGCTAATTACGCAATTATGTTAACACACCAAGGAATTTAACATGAACTAATGAAGTTCTTCTGTCTGTGTATATGCGCAGTCAAGAACCACTCTGTAGTCAGGTAAAGAAGGAGGCGAGGCAATATTGATCAAAGGTAAGAGAAGATAGTAACAAAGAGCTGAGATAAGGAAAAGGCAATTACTGCAGTTAGAAATAGCTGGGATTAACTCAATCTTTCCAGTGCCAAGGACAGAATGAACTGATTCAAAATTCATTCATTTTGGAAGATGCTGTTCAATATATATGAACCCTTTATCATTTTATAATGAGGATGAAAAATTGTCTTGATACAGGGAGTGGTTACCTGTCTGTACCAAAGTTACTGGCTCTCATAAAAGAAAGGGCAAGTACTTGAAGCTTAATGATGTAACACTCAGTGTGTAACAGACAACTGCAGAGAAGACAACTTGTTTGAGCTGAACTTCCTTAATGTGACTACTTTAACATGTAGAATACAGCTTTAATTAGCAGTCAAAAATTTTGCACCTAATTTATATATTATCTTATACAACATTTTTATTTTCAGCATGCTGACTTCATTGTAATGCAATTCTGCATTCGTAACACAAAAATGAATACCCAAGGATATGGTTAGCAAAAAGGGCAATAAAAATTGATTGAAGCTTTCAAAAATATCACAGCATGTAATATAGCACTTACTGAGGAGATTAGAGTTAAATTGCTGTTTGGACTGAATTTTACATCAAGATTTCAGTGTGAACTTACATCTTTTTAAAACAACCTTTACTGTAAAATTTCATATGCCTAGGGGAGTATGTATCTTGAAATTTTATCAGGGGAAGAATCATGCCACTCAGGAATTCTTTCCATCTCTGTCCACCTTTGTAGTTTAAATGATTAAAATGTGATTGTTTGGATTATTTGAATCCCACCAATAAAGTTAAACTTAAAAAAAAAATCACAGAATAGAAAGAGGCACTTTTTCCATCAAGTCTGTACTTGCATTTTTCCCTAACATAAATCCCTGCAGTATGACACTGCAGTCTGCAAATATTACTCTTTTCAAAGCAACTCAATTACAATGTTAAACTCAATTTTGGTGTTAAAATGCTAGGATTATATTAATTACATAAAACATACGGCTTAAATATGATCGTACTTTCTCCACGAATCTAAGAGTCACGTTACCTGCTAAAATCAAAATGAGACGAGACTCAACAGATAGCCTTAAAAGGTCTATGTTGAGCTAGTGATGCAAGACAGCTTTAAGAATAGTCCATCCAGGAGCATTCTCTCATTGAAATATAAATGGAGCAGTAAGACTATGTGAACACTGAGTTTCTGAGCAAAGTGCTGTTTTGTTTGTTTTTTCACGGACACATAGACTGAATAAATTAAGAATATTTTAAATTATACTAAGTTGGTCTATCTTGTGTCAAGAATTAAAGAGAAGTCACTCTGACAGAGGTCACAAAAGTTGGGCAAGGTGATCAAACGGAGATATTTCATTGGGACCTATGTGCTATAGAAGATATAGATTTGGACAATCATTTGAACGAGTTGAAGAAGAAAGATTTGCATATATATAGTGGTTCCCATGGCCACCAGATGTCTCAAAGCTCCTTTTCAGCTAATGAAGTACTTTTTGATGAGTAGTCACTGTTGTAACGTAGGATACATAACATACACGGCAACCAATATTTGCTGTAAGATGATTATTCATCATCAATGGATTCCAAACTTGTACAATATGGTTTTCAATTATTCTCTCTGCCTTCATTATTAGAACAAACACTTTTGAAAAACTATTACAGTGCCATCTAAATAGCTCTTTTCATATTTTAAGTACAAATTCTGTTGATTTTAGAAATAAAGCAGTTTTTGAAGACCAGATATTCCAATTATTTCTGGAAAGCACTTGTTGTACTCATTAGCTGCATCTCAATACCTTCATCAATAGTACATTTAATAAATGTATTTCACTGCAGTAGTCAAGGTAACAGTCTAATTCCCAAGACCATGCTTCTGATCTTTTAAAGATTGGAATAATGTTGGTCACTTCCCAGACTTCTGGTGCCACAGTGTTCCTAATGAGCTGAAACAATTTTTCTTTAAGAACTCTCAGACTTATTCAATCTGATTGCAGTGTTTTATAATTATCAAGTGTACCATTTTTAATTGGCTGTTTCCAAGGGTTATTTTATCCTGTGAACGCAAATCAGTCCCGAATTCTCTCTCTGAAAGCAAACTCTCACAAACTTGCTTTTAACCACAACTTCAAACTCTCAACTGTCTATCCTTTGGCCTTTCATTTGTCACAATATTTATAAAGTACTTGATCTGCTCAATAACATTCTCATCACCACTTTGTTGTCCTTCCCAGTTAAATTTTCATTCCACCTAATCAGGTGTATTTATCAGTTATTACATGCCGTGTTGCACTCACAACTCCATGAAATTTGAACACACCGAGTTTAATGCTCCATCAGATTTGGTTAAAACACATATTGTTATGGGATCTCAAATTTCCCTGCCAAAAATCACCTCATAGCGCTCCAATCAATATGGAGATGATCTCCACTCCTAACTATCTCCTTAAACACAATCTCCTTCAGCCTCTACCTCCAAATCATTACAGTGAACAGTTAATAGGCTGCTTTATTAGCAATGAGAAAAGGTATTTTCCAAAAATGGACAGCCAGTCCCTGATTTAAGCTCAGAAATGTTTCAGGACATATTGTACAAGAACATTCAGGAAAGAGGCCTTACCTCTTTTCCAGATTTTCCTTTTCTCCCTTCCTCTCATGGAAGGCTGTAACTTATATTGAACTTTTATTTTAAGTCAGTGAAACAAGATGTATTCCAGTGCTCTGTTGTAGCTTAGCGTGTACTGTCCCTTGTTGCATTGCTAAATTTACTTTTAGTTCAGTGGAATTTGACCTCACTGGTTCCAGGTCAAATCACTGGTTGTGCGTCAAATTCCATTGTATGAAGTAAATACTGTTAGGTGTGCATAGAGTTTGAATACAAAACGAATAGAAGACCAGTGGATCCAGTGACATTTTCACATTGAAAATTTCTCACCTTCAAGTGTGGATGGGACTTACTGCCAATCCAACCGCACGCTGCACCCATCCCAAATTGTGAAAGCAACTACAAAGGGCATTGACACTCGCACATTCAGGGTGATCCTTGGGCTTCTGTCCTGTAAGATGGCAGAGAAGCTAACAAGATATACAATTGCTCCATAGTGGGGATGAGGGCTGACTGTTTTTGGCAGGGAGTTACATTTTTTTCAAAAGTTAAAGTTGACAGTGTGTCTCTCACTTCTTTTGCAGCAGCAATATTTCCATTAGAAAAGACTTAGTACGCTCCACTACCATGGCACTCAGTAAATCTAACTGCTCCATGCAAATGTATTGGATTTGAACACAGTAACAGTTGAACTGGCGGGAAAAGCAGTTCTGCCACTTCCAACAACTTCAGAACAGAGGAGCAATGTGTGCAAAGAATGTCCACTTCCTTTGAAACTTTGGGATTTACACAATAGAGGCAGACACCCAGAAGTGGGTTCCAACACTGATTCCGGTCCATGAAAGTCTGCTTGGCTTGTACCATGCTCTCCATTTTAATGAAGGAATTTTAGGATCACAGTATCAATGAGTGTAATGAGTGTAGTAAAACAGTAAAATGGAAAATGCAAAATATGGATCAAATTACCATCGTATATAATGATTCGTGCACATTGACTTTTTTTTTAAACCTGTTATGTGTATACTATTTGGTTGCCCTAAAATGCAAATAAAATACTTTACCTCAAGTTTCTTTTGGTACTTATCACATTCCACTTGGCACTGTTTGAGATTCTTGGCAGTTTCCTCTTGCATCAACTGAGCTCGCTCTGCCTCAAACGTTTTTAGCTTTGTCTGATTCATGAGTTCAGATATGCGGCTGTCTGTGTTGACTTGCATTTGCCTAAACCTAGAAAGAAATGGCGAGGTAGGAAAATGTATTTAATGCCTCCTTTAGTTGATTTAAGTAAAGTAATAATAATAGTGTCCATATAGTCATACAGTACAGAAACAGACCGTTTAGTCCAACTCATTCATGCTGACCAATTTCCCAAATCAAACTAGTCCCATTTTCCCGTGTTCGGCCCATATCCCTCTAAACCCTTCTTATTCATGGACCTGTGCAAATCTTTTAAATATTGGAACTGTCCTGCATCTACCACTTCCCCTGGCAGTTCATTCCATATGTGCACCATACTGTGTGAAAAAACTGCCCCTCATGACCCTTTTAAATCTTTCCCCACTCGCATTAAAACTATACCATCAAGTGTTGAACTCCCCTACTGTAGGGAAAACACCTTTGATATTCATCTTATTCATATCCCTCATGATTTTACAAACCTTAAGTAGCTCACCCCTCAACCTTCTAAGCTCCAGGGAAAAAAGTCCTAGCCTATCCAGCTTCTTGTTATAACTCAAACCCTCTAGTCCTAGTAACAACCTTGTAAGTTATTTCTGCACCATTTCCAAGATTTCTAATGAACATACCATTCAAGTAGATTTATGAACATGTAAAACGGGAGCAGAACATATGTCTGAGTAGTTTGAAGTACCCATTAAAAATCTGCCACTGCATCTTGATCAATCAATGCATTAACCTGGTATGCCAGTTCAGTTCAGCTCGCTCAGATTTCACACCTGCTTAATTGCCCTTATTTAGTTCTAAAATTCTAGCCTTAGGCCCAATCTTCTTCCTTTCAAATGGATATCATGATTTCTCCCAAGTGGGGCCATTGGTCCAGAGATGGTAGGAACTGCAGATGCTGGAGAATCTGAGATAACAAGGTGCAGAGCTGGATGAACACAGCAGGCCAAGCAGCA